ACAAAATAACGCTTTTTTTGCTTATTTTGCTTCTCGCCGCTAAGATTTGCTTGATTGTGTGATTATTAGATAAACTACTATATGGCCGATAAATGTATATATGTGGATGTATGCGCACGTGCGTATGCGTGTGCGTGCGTGTGCGTGCGTGTGCGTGTCGTGTGTGTGTGTGTATGTGTGTGTGTGTGTGTGCGTGCGTGTGCGTGCGTGTGCGTGCGTGCGTGCGTGTGTGTGCGTGCGTGTGCGTGCGTGCGTGCGTGTGTGTGTGTGTTTGCGAATATGCTCCTTCATTTGTCGTATACGTCCGCGCTTGACTGTGGGGATGTGCACGCACTTTGCACGTCAGCACCTTATTGTGTGCACTTGCGTGACAGTGGTGCTCCACTACTCACAGCAAACTCCCACCTGCAAACAGAGTGTCCTTTGTTCACTTTTCCTTGCCTCTCTGCCTCCCTGTTCACTATCAACACCACCCTCATTCCCTTCCATCCACACCCCCGCGTTCCTTTTGCACCCAAGGATTGCCATGTTCGTTGAGCAAGCTGTTGAAGCGCTCCAGGCATCGACCTCACTGGACACGGGCGCATTCAAGCAGCAATTTCTTCGGTTCGCCGTGGACTTTGAGAATACCCCATACAATGCCACGCTGTTCCCCCATGTCCCACAGGAGGACCCACTCGCCGTTGCCACCGAGCTCTTTGCCAAGTACTCCAAGCAACACTCCACCACTTGCTCATGTCTCTAGCCCGCATGTGTGCTTGTTATATTCCATCCCCCACCCACCACCACCACGCGCTGTTACAGTGTGACCACGCCTGCTCCTTCATGGGTGTGCCTGCTCTCCTTCCCCTCTGGCTGTCCTTCCCAACAGCCGATGTGGCTTTCGTGAACGATTTCATATAATTTTCTACAATGCCATCCACACGGCAAACTCCCACAACAACAAAGAAGCAGCACGCACCACGACGACAATCACCACGCACGGTGTGCACGCACTGCGTGCTGTCGTGGTGCACGTTACCACTTCCCCTTTGCCCCTTGCTTCAACACAGTTGGAAGCTGCGTGTTCCAGAAACGTACCATCTGCAACAAGTGTCCTCGCTGGCTAAACCTGGTCAGCAGCTCGCGTCATCACTGCAAGCTCCATCAGCACTGCCACAATTCGTGCCATGTGTTGGTCGCAGTGCCAAGACAGAACCCGCCCGTGCAGGCCAACAGCCCATGCAACTTCCCATACGAGCTGCTCACAACCCCGTCTGCATTCACATACCCAAGCCGAGCACGTACCTTGTCCACTATGCAACAACATCCAAATGCAAATCAGGGACGAGGTGAGCACCGAGGCACACCAACGAGCCGCCCTCCCGTGTTCGTTCACCCTCAACGCGTCTCGCGCGACGGCCCAGAATGGATGAGACGCCAGCACGTCGTGGGCAAGTCCGTCAGAGTTTTCCATCCACCATCCACGGCCTCAACCATCCCCCCGCCACCTCAGCACATGAGCACTAACCACTCTGTGATCATGGGTTCAGCACGATGCAACGCACAGCAGCTTTGCACCACACCTAAACAGGGAGACGAACCACCCCATCCATCCATATTTGCACGTCCCCACAGCCGTGCACCGATCTGCAACAGCGAGCAGATGCGACAACAAGCTCGGGTATCTCCACATTTTCCTGATTGTACTCCCAACGTCAACGATCCAAACAAGACGCGCTCACGCAGAAGACGACGACAAGTTGACGACAGATAGCGCACTTGAAAGACGACCCCAAACAGGCAGCTCCACACCAACGATTGGAAAGTCAGCAACGGGCAACGCTCGTGAACTGAGTCATCACGTCAGCCACAACTCCTGCCTCAACATCATCGAACACCTTACTTGAACGCGCACACAGCCACAGGCAAGCCATGAAGAAGCGTAACAAGAACGCAGCCAAACCACCAGCAGCGACTATGACAACAACACCACCAGCACCGTCACTTCGCTTCACGCCCACGATGGCGCGTGTTCTCGGCATCATCGCGTCTTGCCTGCTGCTGGCAGCAGGCTCAACTGCACAGTCCCTTCGCGATTTCGAGATTGCACACGCCGGATCCACAGACAGCCCTGCTCCTTCATGTCAGACCCGCTACGCCCCACGCGTGTACGCTGCAGACCCGCCGTGTGGGTTCCAAGACAGGGATGGCACCGTCAGGCTCAGCACAGGCATTGATCCGGCTGTGCAAGGCGATGCGAGGGCCACGTGCGCATTCTGGCTTCCGTTTACCGTCGCCCACAACACCACCACCCCTGGCCCCAACGGAACGACAATCATCACCACAACGTCGTCCTTGAAGTGGTCCTGCTCGTGGCACGGGTGCGAGGCGTCTGCGACGGTGGTTGACGGGGGCAACGCGATTGTGTGCGCGGTGCCGGGCAACATGCCGACGAACATCACGGCGACGGGGCCGGACGGCAGCCAGGCCGTGCGGGTGACGGTGCGGGTGTGGCACGCGCAATACGCGGGCGGCAGCGGGGACAGCGCGTGCCAGTCGCACGGCGGAGAGCCACCGGCGCTGTGGGACCAGCACGACTACGTGGTGGCGCACCGCAGCTGCGGGTGCCCGCCCGGCGTCGGCTACGTCGAGTGCGAGGAGCCCGACATGTGCCGCACGCACCGCTGCCTGGCGCACCCGCGGGCGGTGTGCGAGGTGAGCCACTGCGGGGTGTGCGCGGTGCGGTTCTACGCGGAGAAGCGCAGCTCGTACGAGGGCGTGGCGCCGCTGGACTGCCTGCCGCGCGACAAGTGCACGGGCGAGTGCCGCAAGGAGTTTGAGGCGTGCTCGCAGTACACCGGGTGCAGGGAGGCGCTGTACCGGCTGGTGGACGAGCGGGCGTCGTCCGGCACGTGCAACGGCACATGCCACGAGCGGCTGGCGGTGCCGACGGAGCCCGGCCGCACGCTGTTTGACCGCGTGTGGTCCTGCTACCGCACGTGCGAGGAGCGGGAGACGGTGCACACGGTGTGCGCGCTGCCGCCGCGGGCCGGGCAGTGCAAGGGGCGCATGACGCGGTGGTACTTTGACAGGATCACGGGCAAGTGCCGGCAGTTTGCGTATGGCGGGTGCGGCGGCAACGGCAACAACTTTGAGACGAGGGAGGCGTGCGAGCAGCGGTGCGAGCTCGGGGCGTGCTGCACGCGGCGCACGGTGCTGGACGACGTCGGGTACGACGCCAACGGGTACGACCAGTTTGGGTACGACCGGCGCGGGTATGCGCGGGACGGGTTCTCGCGGCGGCCGTGGACATACGCGGAGTTTGTGCGAAACACGTTTGACCTGTTTGGGCTGGACGAGCGCGGGTACGATCCGCGCGGGCTGGACGGGTCTGGGTTCTCCGTGGACGGCATGTCGCAGAACATGAGCCGCGACGGCCTGCAGTTTGAGTACCTGGAGGAGCAGATGTACGACGCGTGGGGCGTGGACAGGGCCAACATGAGCAGGCAGGGCTTTGACCTGCGCGGGTACGGCTACAACGGGCTGTACCGGCAGGCAGAGTACACGTGCCAGCAGACGACGCGGGAGCAGTGCCAGGCGCTGGAGGAGGGCGATCCCAACACAGACGTGGTGTCGTTTGTGCGCGGGGTGGCGTGCGGGGACAGGCAGTGCGGCAACCCGCAGTGGCAGGAGCCGCGGCAGTGCATCTACCAGGGCCGGCGGTACAACTACGGCGAGACGTTCCGCTACGCCTGCCAGTGGTGCGTGTGCGGGACAGACGGGGCGGTGACGTGCCAGTGCACGCCGCGGCGGCGCCGTGAGATAAGGGACCTGACGCTTGACGAGGTGCAGACGTACATTGACGCCATCTGGCGCCTGTACAACAGTGGCAACAGGTGGAACGAGTTTGTCAACATGCATCTGGGCGCGGCAACCACAGCGCATGGCAACCCGACCTTTCTCCCCTGGCACCGAGAATTCACAAACCAGTTTGAGCTTGCGCTGCGGGAGGTGACTGGCAACTGCGACTTCACGCTGCCCTACTGGGACTGGACAATCGACAGCAGCTCGCCCGAGACCTCGCCTGTGTGGAATCTCATTGGCGGCAATGGCCAGGGTGGCAACAACTGCGTGCAAGACGGCCCCTTCGCCGGCTTTCGTCCGTGCCTCCGTCGAAACTGGGATTCAAGCGTGTCGATTCCTTCGATCGCAGATGTGACCAACGTGCTGAGAATCCGGGATTACACCACCATGTCGGCACGACTCGAAGCCATTCACGGCAACGCCCACAACTTCATCGGCAGTCAAATGTCCACCATGTCTGCACCCTACGACCCTGTCTTCTTCTTGCATCACGCATACGTCGACAAGCAGTGGTACGACTGGCAAGTCGTGCTCGGAAACGGCAACGACTTTACACCTGAGCGACTCCACGACACGATGGACCCGTTTCCCAAGACGCCGGCAGACGTGCTTGACAGCGAGGGCCAGCTGTGCGTGGTGTACGAGCCGCCTGGCCGCACGCCGCCCTGCAACGAGGCACTCTTTGGCGGTTCCTATGAGACAAAGGGATACTACGCACCCGGTGCCCGGCCGCAGTACGACCGCGACGGCTACGACAGGGATGGATATGACAGGCGTGGACTTGACAAGCTCGGGCGGAACCGGGATGGGGTGCGTGTTGGCGGGGTCACTGCGACGGGGTTCAACACGGCCGGAGTGGACAGCCGCGGGTGCAGCATCATGCATCCGATGCCGCTGTACATGCGCGACGTGTTCCAGGCGCAGCGGGAGCTGTACCGGCGCATCCAGGCCAACGCATATGTGCAGCCCGCGCGCACGTGCAGCCCACTGCAGCCGCTGCCGGCGTGGTGGAAGGCGTCCATGTGGATGTCGCGCGGCGGGCTGTACGGGGCGATCATGGATGCGTACGAGGCGTACCTCGAGGAGGCGCTGGTGAGGCAGCCGGACGAGTGGCAGCGGGACAGGACGCAGTCGCAGCCGTCGATCCTGGAGGACCTGTGCTTTGCGGCGGACGACCTGACGCTGCGGCAGGACGACAGCTGGCGGCCGGGCGACGACTACCAGTGCCCGCCCGGCTTGCCGCGGCAGAACTGCGAGTGGAATCCCTGTGCGAATGCGACGTGTCCCGGGTCGCCGGACGCGACGTGCTGGGTGAACCCCTGCGGGCGGTGCCGGCCCGAGTTCTACCGGGAGGACGGGTCGCGTGCGCGCTGCTACTCGACGTGCCCGGTGGAGGAGGGCACGTGCACGTTTGACCCGTGCGCGTATGCGACGTGCGAGGCCAACCCGGAGGCCGTGTGCGAGACGAGCCCCTGCGGCGGGTGCGAGGTGGAGTGGAGCGACCCTGAGACGGGCGAGCCGGTGACGTGCGATGTTGAGCCGGACTCGTGCGCTGCGCAGGGCCAGACGTATGTGTGCGGGGAGGACGGGCAGACGTACGACAACGTGTGCTATGCGCGGGAGGCTGGGGTGAAGATTGCGTACGGGGGGCTGTGCGTTGCGTGCGAGCGGCTGTGCCCGCCGGAGGGGATGGCGGCCAAGGCGTGCGGCGAGGACTGGCAGACGTATGCGTCTGTGTGCCACGCGCGGTGTGCCGGGGTGAAGGTTGTTGTACACGGGGGCGTGCCGGCCGCTGCCTGTGACGTGTGAGCAGGTGAACTTCTTCAAGGCGTCTGACGCGGGGCGGCAGCAGCTGTGCAACGAGCACACGTCGTGCCTGACGACGGTGGCGCGGAGCGCGGACAACCGGTGTTTCTGGAACGAGGACACGCGGCGGTGCAGCTGCCAGCCGTCGGACGTGGTGTGCACGGCTGGTGCGCACGAGTGTGCGCGGTGCTGCAACGACGACCTGCGGCGGTGCCTTCGCTGGGGGCAGGACAGCGTGGACACGTGCTGGCGGGAGGCGTACGTTGCGTGCACGGTGCAGTGTGCGGAGGAGTACGATGCAGCCAAGCTGCCGGTAGCCGCGGCCTCTGTTGGCAGTGTTGATGATGGCGATGGCGGCGATGGCGGCGATGGAGGGATTAACATCTTCCTTGGAGACGATGACATGGTGCACAGCGGTAACGACACGAACAGCACTGCGCCTGGCCCCACTGGCCCGCTGGACACGGTTGTGTTCCGTGTTGGGCTGCGCGGACGCCCGAGCACGACGATGGACGCGGCGCAGTTTGCGGAGGCGACAAGCCTTGCTGTTGGGCGGGCGTCGTTTGTGCCGTCGGCGATGCGTGTAGTTGGGGCGAGCGCGATGGCTGCGGAGCGGCTGGGCAACACCACGGCCGGGGTTGAGCTTGAGGTGAACGCGGAGAGCAGCGACGGGTACGCGGTGCAGGCTGCGCTTGAGGCCGCGGTGGTGGAGGGCCGGCTGGCAAAGGAGGTGGCCATCTACACCGGCAGCGCCACCACAGACGACGTCATGCTGGTTGGAGCTGTGGAGGTGATTGAGCCACCAACCACGCCTGCACCGACTGACGATCCAAAGGTCAACCCACGTGAGTCCGATGCAGCCATCCCGATCCCAGCCATTGCTGGTGTTGTTGCGGCCCTGATTGTAATTGTCGGCTGCATTCTCGCTGTCGCAATTGTTCGCAAGCGCTCATGTGTCCGCCCGAAAGCGTCAGAGTCGACGTCGCCTGCTGGGCCGCGTGGCGTCACCACCGTTGGCGACAACTGATCTGAACCATCGTTGTGTGTGTGTGTGTGTGTGTGTGTGTGTGTGTGTGTGTGTGTGTGTGTGTGTGTGTGTGTGTGTTTGTGTGTGTTCTGATGCTTGCGATTGTGATCCTTGTACATGCGGTCATTCTTTTTGCTCTTTGCTGTGCATAGTCTCAGTTTCCCGCGCTGCTTACACAACTGTGTTCTGCCTACACGATCGCCCTTGCCCTACTGATAGCGCCTGTGTATGTGGGTTTTGTTCTTCCTACCATCGTGGGGTCTCTCTTGTCACCCGTGCGTGCATTGCGGCTGTTTTGTTTGGGAAGCCCCTCTCAAGATTGCTTCATGATGCGTGCTGCTGGTGCTCTGTTCATCATAGAATGTGCAAACTGTACAATTGCGGCAGATCCTATCAACAGTCATCAAATACGCGTGGTCAGAGGCAAGGCTAAATGTGTGTATGTGTGTTGGGGGGAGGGGAACATATGGAAGAAAGCATCATCAAGCTAATGAATCTCACAAAAACGACAGGGACACAAGGCTGGCAAAGCGGAAGCTGTGAGCGGCACAACAAGGCAGAGCAGCAAGAAATGCTCTGCCCACATGATATTAAGGCAAAGTGACATTGGGAATGGCACTACAGAAAGGGAATGCGCGCTACACACTCACACGCACGAGGCGCGTGTGAGCTTGGACAATGACTGCTTCCTTGTGGTTAAGGGAGAAAGCTGGCTGTTGTTGGGGCTTGGCGAATCAAATGCCTTGAGGTCATGGTGGTTGCCTTGTTCATGGCTGTCACTGTCGGTCGACGGCGTGAGCGACGAAGGCCGTGGCTCGTCGCTGTCCTTCTTGGCATAGGCATTCAAATCTGCCTTGGAAAACAGCTGCGCCTGCCCATGCATGAGCGAGGCATCGCTGTCTGTTGTCAGCACGTCTGCGCTGTTGGGCGCGTCGTACAAGGCCATCCCCATCGCGTCGATGGTGTCCACTGATCCGAAACGCGACCCCGAACTGCTCTCCGTCGGGACCAGGGACTGGCGTGGAGTTATCGTGTGCCTGCGTGCGCGTGTGGTGTTTGCATGCGTGTGCGCGAAGGGGTGTATGGATGAGTGTGTGGGTGCGTATGGGGGTATGCGTGCGCGTGCATATGTGTGTGTGTGTGTGTTTGCCATGGGCATGTGTGCCGTTGTCATGCGATAAGGATTTCGCTGGCGAGCAATTTCACGAGACCGTGACACTGCATTCACAGCAATTCAAGTGCACAGTGATGAACGTACGATATCAACGTGGTTGAAGCGCTTGACTCCATTGCCTCCGACAGCAATTCCTGCAGCTTCTGCGGTATGGGCCGCTCCGAGCTCGCCATGCGCCAGCACTGCAACATCACCTGTGGGCACGCAGCAGACACCGCCGTCGAGGCAGGAAGTGGTTGCCGTTGAGGGGCGAGAGCTAGCGTCGTACTTCAAGTGTGGAGTAGTGACAATAACACGCGCATCCATTCGTGGGCGGTTCCACAACGAACCGCACCATGCACCATGTGCCTCGAGTGAGACCGCACAATTAGTACCTTGTAGATGGAATGCGGACAGGCCTGAGGACGATCAAGCGGTGTGCCTCGCTTGGAGACGTTTGTTGCCACCTCAGAGTTGCTGAATCCCGCCCACGGCTTCTGCCCGTACGAGAAAATCTCTGTACAAAGGGACAACAGGCCATCATGTGAGCCGTGCGTTGATGGTGTTGGTGTGAGAGGGTGAAGGGGGTGAGGCGTTGATGGGCATGAGCGTGTGTGGCGTCGTTGTGGGGGGGGGCAGCAACGGCGCCCATGGACATGGTGTGCGCGCACACACACGCACACGGGAGGAGCGGGAAATCAAAGACGAACACACAACAAGCACAATAAGCGTGTGTACGAGGTGAACGTACCCCACAACACGACTCCAAACGCAAACATGTCCGACGCTGGCGAAAATTCGTTGTCGGAGATGGATTCCGGTGCCTGCACGTGTGTGTGTGTGTGTGTGTGTGTGTGTGTGTGTGTGTGTGTGTGTGTGTGTGTGTGTGTGTGTGTGTGT